CAAAGTGGTGGAGAAGGGAGAAAGCCGAGGGCTAAGCGGCAAAGGGAGGGAGCGAGGCAGCAGAGAAGGGAGCAAAGCCCTCCTCGGTGGGCTTCGCTCCCTTCTCTGCTTCGCTCCAGTCTCAGGAAGCCCTATTCTTGCAGGAATAGGCCCAAGGAAGCCCTATTCTTGCAGGAATCTTCCTGCAATGGGCCTCTAGTTTATAAATAATGACTGAAAACTTCCCAAACCTGGTGAGGAAAAGGGCGCTAGTCCAGGAAGCATAAAGAATCCCAAGCAAGATGAACCCAACGAGGCCCACACACAATAAGACACATCTTAATTAAAATGGTAAACGTTAAAGACAAAGACAGAATCTTAAAAGCAGCAAGTGAAAGCAGTACCACCCTAGCCGGTTGGCTCAGTAGACAGAGAGTCAGCCTGCAAACCAAAAGGGCCTGGTTCAATTCCAGTTAAGGGCATGTACCTTAGTTGCAGGCTCCTCTCTGGCCCGGACTCCTGCGGGAGGCAACCAATCGATATGTTTCTCTCACATCAAAGTTTCCCTCTGTCTTTCCCTCTCTCTCCCACTCTGTCTAAAAATCAATGGAAAAATATCCTCAGGTGAGGATTAACAAAAAATAAATAAAATAATAGAAAAGTAGTACCTACCAGGGAATTCCCCTAAGACTGTCAGCTGATTTCTCAACAGAAACATTTAAGGCCAGAAGGAATTGACATGAAATATCCAAAGTGATGAAAAGCAAGGACCTATAATCAAGATTATTTTACCTACCAAGGCTATCATTTAAAATTGAAGGAGAAGTAAAGAGTATCCCAGACAATAAAAAGCTAAAGGAATTTGTTACCACCAAACCAGTATTATAAGAAATGTCAAAGGGCCTTCTTTAAAGTGCTCTACCTCATAGGCTCACTGCTTTAAAAAGAATAAGAGGAAGGAAAAGAGGAGAAGGAGGAGGAAGGGAGGAAGAGGAAGAGAAGAAAGAAGGTAGAGGAACGTAATTATAAAAGATCAATAAATAAAATAAACTGACAACAAAACAGATCCAGAGACATGGAATCATGCAACAGACTGACAGACTGACAATTCTCAGAGGGAAGGAGGGGACAGGAAGAGATTAACCAAAGAATTTATATGCATAACCCATGGACACAGACAAGTGTGGTGAAGGCCTGAGGAGGGGACGTGAGGGGGTCAAGGGGAGTAAAAGGGGGACATCTGTAAAACTTTCAACAACAAAGGTACATTTTAAAAAGAAAGAAAAATAATTGATAGAACAGACTCAACTAAAAAAATGACCTTGAGCAGGGATGTGAAAGATAACAAAAAGCCTGCTCAAGGACAGAGCATTCCAGCCAGAGGGAACAGCAAGTGCAAAGGCCCTGAGGTAGGGATGAGCCTTATGAATTCAAACAATATTTATAATTCCCTAATTATATTAATTTTATTTTGCTCTCAACCTAAGATTAAAAGTGAGAAATTTCATAGACATGAAAAAATCTATAATTTTCTAAATTTTAACTAATTACCAAAAGTACTTTAAAACTCTACATCCATAAAGAAAATAAAATTATGCAATTTGCTCTCCTATAAAAAAAAAAGGTGGGGGGGGAGGAGGAAGAAGAAGAAAACAGAGGAATATAATTTAAAAATAAAAGGGATGAAAAAGATATTTCATGCAAATGGAAAGGGAAAAAAGCTGGGTAGCAATACCTATATCTGAAAAAATAGGCTTTAAAACAAAGGCTACAGTAAAAGACAAAGAATCTATAATAATAAAAGCGTAACATGCAAATTAACTGAACGGCCGAACAGCAAAATAACCATCCGGATGACCTTCTGGACAACCTTTCAAACAAAGCCGAGGCTGCGAGGGCCGAGGCAGCCAGGGCTGCGAGGGCCTAGCCTTGCACGAATTTCGACAAAGAATACTACATAATGATAAAGGGAGCAATCCAACAAGAGGATAACCCCTGTAAACAATTATGCACCCAACATAGGAACACCTAAATACATAAAACAAGTGTTGATGAACATAAAGGGAGAGACTGACAATAATATAGTCATAGATTTTAACACCCCACTGACATCAATAGATAAATCTTCCAGACAGAAAATCAACAAGGAACCAGTGGCCTTAAGTGACACACTAGATCAAATGGAATTGGGAATTGATATGTTCAGAACATTTCACCCCAAAGCAGCAGAAGAGACATTCTTTTCAAGTGCACATGGAATATTTTCGAGGATAGACCACATGTTAGGACACAAAACAAGTTTCAATAAATTTAAGAAGACTGAAATCATATCAAGCATCTTCTCCAATCACAATGGTATAAAAATAGAAATAATCACAAGAAAAAAAACTGAAAAATATACTAAGACGTGGAGGCTAAATAACATGTTACTAAACAATGTGTTAACAATGAGATAAAGAAATAAATCAAAAGATACCTTAAAGCAAATAAAAATGAGAACAAAACAACCCCAAGTCTATGGGACACAGCAAAAGCAGTCCTAAGAGGGAGATTCATAGCACTGCAGGCCTATCTCAAGAAATAAGAAAAATCTGAAATAAACAATCTAACTTTACAGTTAAAGGAACTTGGAAAAGAACAATAAAAAAAAGCCCAAAGTAATTAGAAGGAAAGAAATAATATAGATCAGAGCAGAACAAAATGAAATAGTCTAAAAAAATTACAAAAGATCAATGAAACCAGAGCTGGTTCTTTGCAAAGATAAACAAGATTGACAAACGTTTAAACAGACTCATCAAGAAAAAGAGAAGACCTAAATAAAATCAAAAATGAAAGAGAAGTAACAACTGGCATCAAAGAAATACCAAGAATTATAAGAAAATATTACAAACAATTATATACCAAAAAATTGGACAATCTGGAAGAAATAGATAAATTCCGAGAAACATAAAATCTTCCAAAACTGAATCAGGAAGAATCAGAGAATCTGAATACACAGATTACTAGTATAACTAGTGAAATTGAAGCAGTAATCAAAATACTCCCAGAAAAGGCAAGTCCTGAACCCGGTAGCTCCACAGGTAAATTTTACCAAACATTCAAAGAAGAACTAACACCTATCCTTCTCAAACTACTGAAAGCAAAAATCAAGAGGAAAGACTCCCAATCCTATTGTCATGATGCACCTTCCCATCCACCACACACCTCTGTCCTGCCCTCAGGTGACAGATGTGCAAACTAAGCAATGGACTGAGAGGGGTGAAAACCTGAAGAAAGGCCCAGAGTCAGTGCTAGATTACCCTAAAGGCCAACTAAGCAAGCGCTTAGGTCATCAGCAGGGAAGGAGCCCCCAGCAATTACAGAAAAAGATCATTGGGAGAAAAAGATCATTGGAAATGTTTGATACTTAAATTTGATATTCAAAGAAACAGCAAAATCAACATCATGGGAAAAACAAAAGCTTCGCCATCAATATTTATCATGAAATACATATGGCAAGTGGATATAAATAATGGTACTTAAAAAGGTGTATGTATTCAGTTGCTGAAGACAGAATTCTATATATCTCCATTAGGTAAAATTTCTTAAATCATGATTTGCAAATCTTATATATCCTTACTAATTTTTGTCTGCTTGTTACTAATTTCTCCTTGTGGTTCTGCCATTTTTTTCATTACATTTTGAAGCCATGCTATTAGGTTCATAGTTAAAGTTGTTACATCTTCCTGATGAATTCAAGTTTTCTACATGACCTATTCTTTATTTCTACAATGCTTGTTTATCTTAAATCCTATTTTTGCTATTTTGTGAAAAATCTCTTTTGTCCATCTTTTTACTTTCAACTCTTCTAAATTCTTATGTTTTAGCTGTATTTCTTGTAAACAGCTGTATCAGTTATTTGTACTGTGGAACAAAGACAGAAAGTGTTCAAATGTTTAAAAGTTAAGAAATACACCTAGAAGTAATCCATAAGCCAAACAACTCAGAATAAGAATCAGAAAATATCTTGAGTTGAATGACAAAAATTATATCAAAACGTGTGGATGAAACTAAAGTCCTATATAGAGAATGTTATCATTTAAAAGTGTACATTAAAAAGGTTGAAATTTCCTGACCGGTTTGGCTCAGTGGATAGAGCATCGGCCTGCGGACTGAAAGGTCCCGGGTTCAATTCCAGTCAAGGGCATGTACCTTGGTTGCGGGCACATCCCCACTAGGGGGTGTGCAAGAGGCAGCTGATTGATGTTTCCCTCTCATCAATGTTTCTAACTCTCTATCTCTCTCCCCTCCTCTCTGTAAACAAATCAATAAAATATATTTTTTTAAAAGGTTGAAATTTAATGAACTAAACATCTACCACAGGAGTTAGAAAAATAACAGCAAATTAAACAGAAAAGAATAATACAGGTCAGAATAAAATTAGAAAATATAAAAGAAAAATAGGATCAGAATAGCCAAAAGTTGGTTAATTTTGAAAAGACTAATAAAATTGGTAAACATATGGTGAGACTGGTTAAAATGCAAGAGAGAGGGCACAAATTATTAAATTAGTGTTAAGAATGAAATTGGCAGCATCACTACAGATCCTACAGACATTGAGAGAATAATGGGGCGGGGGGGGGGGCGCAGATAATGAGAGAGTATATAGGCAACTTTGTGTAATGAATTTTAGATAACATGGCCACAGTTCTATAAAAATAAAACTTAGCCCTAGCCAGTTTGGCACAGTGGATAGAGCATCAGCCTGCGGAAGGGTCCCCGGTTAGATTCTGGTCAAGAGCACATGCCTGGGTTGTGGGCTCAATCCCCAGGAAGGGGTATGCAGGAGGCAGCCAATCAATGATTCTCTCTCAACATTAATGTTTCTATCTCCCTCTCCCTTCCTCTCTGAAATCAATAAAAGTATATTTTTAAAAAATAAAATAAAAATAAAAACTTATCCAAACTGAAGAATAGAAAAGAAGAGGTGGTGGGGAGATGGGTGAAAAATGTGAAGAGATTAAGAAGTACAAACTGCCAGTTATAAAGTTAGTCACGCAACACTTCTATAGACCAGCTCTAAATAGAACATGAAGTTTTTTAAGATACCATTTACAATAGTATCAAGTTCCTAGAAATAGATTTAACAAAAGATGTGCATGACAAATGTAAAGCTTTATTGAGAGAATTTAACAAGCCATATTATCAATATAACAGCAGCATGTGTAGCTTCGGCTTGTCTTCTTTTTTAATGGCTCACTGTCCATCACCTAAAATAAAAATATAACAGTTGTGTAAATTACTTAGCAAACTTTTACTTACATGATAATAAAGGTATACAAAGAATATTACAATTTTGGTTTTGTAAGGTAAAACTAAAATCAGAACCCTAACCACTGCACAGACTTCTATGCTAATGTACACTTTCAGGCATATAAGCACAATTTTTTTAAATGCTTCACTTTTTGGTGGTATGAAGAAACAGATTTCTCAAGCCCAGAAAATCAAATCCTATGTGCCTTTTTAAAGATAACTTTTTGAATCAAGAGCAAAAACTGCCAATGATTTTAGTTAAAATAAAATCAACCAAAACACCATAATAAAAAATAAAATAAATAAAATCAACCAAACAAAAACTCCAAGAAGCAAAACAAACAAGTAAGCAAACAGTATTATTCAAATGCATTGACTTGAAATATTCTTCTAATTATATACATTAGTTAAAATAATGATGTCATACTATTTAATTAAAGAGGCCACAAAGAACATCATTGCATTTGATTTGTCTCTTTTGTGCAAACATATTTCATTGGTCTAGATCAGTGATGGCAAACCTTTTGAGCTCGGCATGTCAGCATTTTGAAAAACCCTAACTTAACTCTGGTGCCATGTCACATATAGAAATTTTTTTACATTTGCAACCATAGTAAAACAAAGATTTATATTTTTGATATTTATTTTATGTGTTTAAATGCCATTTAACAAAGAAAAATCAACCAAAAAAATGAGTTCGCGTGTCATAGGTTCGCCATCACTGATCTAGATCAACCTTTATATGGCCTATTTATAGTAAGGTGGCCATTTATTTCACTTGCACCTGTTGTCCTGGTGTAAGTAGTCATAGCACTCCCCTTTAACTCTCAAGAGTATCCTGGTTTGAATGATAAAAATTACCTGGTCACACTAGTTTTAATGTCATCATAGATGCCATTCAAATGTGAAAGAAAATAGTACCATTTCTCAGCCTGGCTCACAATTAAAAATACAACAACAAACCAACCTAGAAAAGTCAAAACATACAGACCCATATTATTTTTTGGTGTCTGTAAAATAAAGTGATTTTTGAGAAACAGATCTGGCAAATAAAAAAATATTACTATTGTGTTGTTTAGATCTCCAAATAGTACTAAGGCATGTTAAATAATTTATATACTCTAAAAATATTTGATCACTTGTCTTGCATTTTAAAGGACTTCTACTCCAAAGTAATAATACTTTCATGTTTTATAATTTAACAACATGGATAACTTAATTCACTGTTTTTCCTGATGCTGTCTTTGAATCAAGTATTTGGTGTATGAACAACCTTTGGAGAAATCTTTGTATGTGTGTTGTGTTACAAAAGTATAATAACATTGTAGAATAGAGCAACCCCATGACTTGCATTCTTAATGGGATAACCTACCTTTTGGAGTTTTAGCAGGAGCCAGAATAGGTGGATTCTTCTCATCTGCCTCACTGCCATCTGCAGGCTCATCACGAGGCCTTCCCAGAGCCATTTTCTGGCTTTCACCTTCCAATTCAGGTTCGTATATAAGTAAAGAGAGTTATTAATATAAGAAGTAAACCACACATTAATGCTATTAAATAAAGCTCTGTAGGTTAGTATTGCAATAAATGTGATACATAAGAAAGCAATGAGCATTAAAGGGTTTTCTGGTAGAAAATAAAGTTTTATTTCTCATATTACCTCCTCCATGAAGTGTTTCTTTTTCTAAAACTGTTTTAAAATAACTTAGTTGTCACCTTTGTAAACCATAGACACTTGTATTATTGCACCTATATCATTAGCTATTTGTTTACACAAATTTCTCTGACAAGACTGTGAGCTCAAGACAGAAATCATTCTCTCATTTCTATTTATATCCTCAGCACCTAGTACCTCACCTGCCACCAAGCAAGCCCCAACAAATGAGTGAAAAAAAAGTCTTAGCCGGTTTGGCTTAGTGGATAGAACTTCAGCCTGAGGAATAAGGGGTCCAAGGTTCTATTCTGGTCAAGGGCAGGTACCTCAGTTGCAGGCTCCTCCCCAACCCCATCCCTGGTCAGGGCTCATAGAGGAGGCAACCAATCAATGTGTTTCTCTCACATCGATGTTTCTCTCTGTCTTTCACTCTCTCTCCTACGCTCCCTAAAAATCAATGGAAAAATATCCTCGGGTGAGGATTAATAAAAATAAATAAATAAAAAATGAATATATGCCCTGGTCAGCATGCCCAATGGTTAGAGCACCAACCTGCTCTACTGGAGGGTCTTGGGTTCGATTCCCCATGAAGGGCATGTACCTGGGTTGCAGGTTTGATCCCCGCCACCTGCCAGTGTGAGAATAGGAAGCAACCATTCTCACATCTGTTTCTTTCTCTTTCTCTTTCTCTTTCTCTCTCTCTCTCTCTCTCTCTCTCTCTCTCTCTCTCTCTCTCTCTCCCCTCCCTCCCTCCCTCTCTCTTTCCCCTCCTTCCCTCCTCCCTTCTACTCTCTAAAAAATCAATGGAAAAAATATCCTCACTCCTTGGGTGAGGATTAAAAAATAACAATAAAAAAGAAAATAGAATATGTGACAATTAGATTATGGCTCAGGAAGACAAAAATACTGAACACTAAACAGCAACTAGAACAGGATTTTACATTTTTATTTCTCTATATTATGAAAAATAAATTTAAATCACAATCTAAGAGTTAACCAAAATATATCTAGGTTTGCTTAAACTTTTGATGCAATGACTTAAGTATTTTAAGATGACCAAGTTTAACTAGTGAAATAGTGTATAATTTTGCCTAGATTTAATATTGCTTCATTTGATTTGTTGATATAGACCCTTGGCAAGGATTGTATTTTCCAGGTGTAGCAAATAATTTAAAATATGGGATGGGTAAACTTATTGGAGGGAAAATTATCAGAGAAAGGGACTGCAGTTGCAAACGATACCTTTCCTTACCAGATAGGTTTCCAGTCACTTTTCAGGTGACCCTTTACTTATTCCTGTTACTAGTAAACATCATAAATTAAACACAAAATGTTCCGTTATCCCCTTTTCACCTTTAATCGCAGATGCTCCCTCTTCTCTCTTTTGTCCAAGTTCCTTAGAAGGACTCCCAACTGGTGGTTCCTCCTCAGATTTTTTGTCACTTGGTTGCTGGGCCTTGTGGGAGAGTACATACAAAGAAAAAGTATTCTTTTCACTATTATAACAATAGAAGGCACAAGTATATATACTATATTGCATAACTAATCACAAATCTAAAGAGGTTTTTCCTGTACTCTTCTCTGTAAGCACTCTTAATAAAGTTACTCTTCCTATATAAAAAATACTCTAAGGAAGGGCTTAGCTGCAAGGAACAAGAATTCTAAAAACCATTTTAATATTTTCTGGTGCTATTTATTAATACACACAATAGGGACGATACAGGGATGATTTCCAGGCTCATGTCAATATACATATGCAGGCAACACCAGAATATAAGTCTCCTTGCTCAATGTCTCATTCATGACGTTCAGTTTTCACCTATTTTAGCAATGAGGTCCTTTATACAACAAATATGTATTGGTTCAACAACTTTTTCAATTTTTTCCAGAAAAATTCATTTTTCTGAATGGAAGTAAATGTTAGTGCACTCACAACCACAGGTTTAACTGCATCAAAGGACTCTTGACCATCTGGTCTTCCTCTAGATCTTGATCTCAGTCTTGCATTCATGGTTCACGCTGAAAATAAAAAATCAAGTGAAGATGTAGTGAAAAACAATAATTATACTGAACTGTTTCCCTGACCAACTGGTGATTATAAATTCTTTTTTACATTTGGTTAGATTCCCAAAATAAATCTTGAATAATAACTGCCATAAAAATAGTAATAATATATAATAACTGCTGTTTTCTAATCATGTAATATTCAATGCAATTTCTCTCACCACCTATTAGGGAGAGAGGGGACCCTTCAAGTACTTTTTAAAAAGTACGACTTTACTAAAGAGATTTAGTTTCACAAGTAGACTCTCCAGTATAAACAGATTTTGTAACATATAGGTACGTCCAGCTCTCCACTGACAACCACCGATTCTGTGCTCTGTCGGCAGTTTCAGGTGCCTCCAAGTGTCAGGTACCTCCAACACCACCCCCAAGACTCGCCCCATCTCCTTTAGACCCCCTGCCCGTCGCCGCCCACCGTCCGTCCTTGTCCTAGCCCCGCCGTAACAACGGCCATGGCGGCCTTGATGCCTGTAAAGAGAAAGAGGACGACCTCGAGGACTTTCTTCCTCAGAGGCCACAGAGCAAGACACCCCAAAGCATGAGGCCGACTGGCTCTCTCCTCACACTTACACTCCTGGGAGGACTGACCTGTGGACCTATCAGTTGAGTCTCAGCTCCCGAGAAAGAAACTCGCCCGTAAGACGCAAACCGCAGAGCTCTGCACACGGAACCTTGTACAACCGCCAGACCGATGACTCATAAAGCCCGGCACTGGACATGCGCACTGCGTCTCGTGCCGCGCACTGACCTGCGTGGACTAGTATCCCCATCCCCCACCCCTACCCCCCACGAGCTCCAATGGACACCTTTTGAGTTTGTCCTGTCTGGGGTTCCTGGGGCCTCCAGGACTCAGACACTTCAAATAAAGCCCCTAACACTCTCCACAGCCCACTATCCTCCCTTGCGCTGGTCCAGCCACAAGGCCCATGGTGGCCGAGATACTTGGAAGGAGAAAGACCACAACCTACAAGGCTTTCTTTCTCTGAGGCTACGAAACATGCTGACCAGACCCGCCTGAAGCCCGATAACTCTCTCCTCACACGTACTCATTCACATCAGTTCACACTTACACTTGTCACCAGACAGCAGAGAGCCTCCTGGAGAATCAGAAAGAGAATGAAGATGGTAAGTACCTCCCAATGCCACCTAAACACAACCTCTGCTGCGTCAACTCCGCCAGCCAGTCGCAAGCCGCAGCGGTATGCGTGGTAACACCAACACTACTGCACAGTGACGTGTGTCACGTGGCCCGTGGGTCCAGCCCTCCCTGGGTTGCAAGCTCCACCCCACTGGGAGTGGAAAGTTGCTTCCCAGTCCCAGAAGGAATTTTCCTTCCTTTCTCCAGCCCCCCAAAAACTTTCAGTCTTTGTCTAGGAACGTTCTCAACGCTGTATTTCACCTGCTGGTTGCCCCTCCAAATCTTCCTTACAGTACAGACGCCTCAGTGGCCTTAAGAGAGCCTGTAGTCTCCCCAAAGATGCGTGAAAGCTTTTTTTAGGGTCTGAAGAATTGCAAAGCTATTTAAAGCATAACAGGTATCCAGAAAGGTAAAAAGAATTCATCAATCCAAACACATAAGCCTTAAAACTCGCACACATCCTGTGACTGAGCAGTTCTACTTCTAGAGCTTTATGTTAAGGAAACTGCCTTGCACATGAAAAAAAAAAAAGATGTAGATACATAGCACTTACAAAGCAGCTTAATTTATAAAAGCATGGTTATGGACTTGTTATATAAGTAAACTTTGGCACATTTTTTTCAATTACATTTTACATTCAATATTGTTTTGTATTAGTTTCAGGTATACAACATAGTGGTTAGATAATCATATACTTTGCAAAATATTCCAATATTTCCAGTACACACCTGGCACCTACATAGTTATTACAATACTAATGATTTGAATACTATTCCTATGCTGTACTTTACATCCCCATGACTATTTTTGTAACTACCAATCTGTACGTCTCAATCCCTTCACCTTTTCTCACCCAGTCCCCCAACCCCCATACCCTCTGATAACCATCACTCCCATCTCTGCATCTATGACTTTGTTTCACTTTTTTGTTTATTTTGTTATTTAGATTCTACATGTAAGTGAAATCATATACTATTTGTCTTTCTCTGACTGACTTAATTCACTTAATATAATTAACCTCTGTCACAAATGGTAAGATTTCCTTCTTTTAAAGGCAGAGTAATAATTGCTTGCCTCCATTTCATTTCATTCTTTTTCTGGGGTTTTCTCCTGTTCTTTTGTTTGGGGCATGTTTCCCTGTCTCCCCATTTTGGCTGCCTCTCTGTATTCACTTCTGTGCATTAGGTATATCTGCTATGTCTCCCAGTCTTGGTAGGGTGACCTTATATAGTAGGTAGGTGTCCTGTGGGGCTCAGTGGTGCAGTCTCCTTGATCACCTGAGCTAGGTGCTCCAGGAATGTCCCTTGTGTGGGTTATGTGAGGCCTCCTGTTGATCCTCACCGAGGATATTTTTCCATTGTTTTTTTTAGGGAGAGTAGAAGAGAGAGGGAAACAGACAGAAACATTGATGTGAGAGAGACACATTGACTGGTTGCTTCCCACACACACTCCGACCGGGGCCAGGGATGGAGCCTACAACCAAAGGACATGCCCTTGACCAGAATCCAACCCGCAACCCTTCAGTCCTTGGGCCAGCGCTCTAACCACTGAGCTAACCAGCCAGAGCTGTAGATGAGTCTTGATGAGTCTCATCTGTGGGTGGGGTTGAACCTCAGGCTGGCTGACAATGAGGATTGACCCTGACCACAGCATATGAGCTTCTGTGTAGGGGCTGACCGTATGAAACGGAATTCATTCTGGTGCCAACAGAGATCTCCCTTTGGTTGTACCACTTGTGGAGCTAATTGGGTCGTGCTCTAATCTGGTCTGAAGCCCACCATTGAGTGTTTTAGTCCTGGGGCCTCTTAGGAGGGACTCCAGTGCAGGTCAATGTCAGACACTGCTTGTGATCAGACCTGGGCTACCTGTTTGGAGGTACAAAGAGATCAACACTTTGTGGCTGCCTCTGTTGGGACTGGGTGCATGCCAGAGGGGCCAAGCTGCATATCAAGGCCAGCTTAGGGTTTGCTCATTTTTAAAGTAGTCAGGATCTCAATGGTGTTATGAGTACTAAAGCCATTTCTAGAATATCTCTGTTTGAATCTGCCATCAAATCCCAAAGCATAAGTATTTCAAATATATACAACTGTGGCAAAAGTGTGTTTGAATATGAACTTTCATGTTGTAAACTGTTCATATGATATTTAGAATCACATCTTGTCCATAAGGTAGGGAATGCAAAGGTAAAATACCACTGGACCCTAAACAGGCTGAGGCTGAGTGGGAGTAGAGCTGATTTCTTTGTGTATTTCTGAAAACCAGGCCTAAAAAGGGAACAAAAGGAAGGCTTTATGGTCTGGCTACAGCTTCTGAAAATAAATGCAGCCTCTTTAACAGACCTACTAGGAAGGCAGGCACTTAGTGAAAATGAGAAACATCTAGGCATAGAGCAAAGAGCAAGCCATTTGAAGCCCTGGAAACACGAGTTAGAATCCCATCTCCACTGCTTCCTCTCTGTGGGACCAAGAATGTTAGCTCAACATATATGAAATTCAATTTCCTCACCTGTAAATTGTGTTTAGTAATCTTATCTTTTAGGACTCTTAGGGAAAAAGAACACCCTTTGTAAATATTCAACTCAGTTCTTGGTTATACATACACTCAATAAATGATGTGTTATCATAAATATTATCATTACTATTATGGTTAAATTTTTCTAAAACTACCTGTACTTGGTAGTTATATTTTTATTGGGCTTGTGTTCTCCATGAAAACAAAGGTTTTTGGCAAATACTAGTATTTGAGGCGCAAAAAAAGTAAAGTAGATTTCTGGACAATTCCTTCTCCCCTCCCTTTTTTATCTGCTTCTTCCTCATAATTTTGCACACCATGTGTCTTCTTAATGATTACCACTTTCTCCATTTAGAATGAACTCCTTTGTTTGCAAGTGAAAAACTACAGCCAGAGCCTATTTTTCTTTGTCCAAAACCACACCCAAGTTAGATCCTGAGTGCACCATCAATGTATTGTCTGATTCCAAATGAAGTGATCTTGCCACTTCACCACCCGCTGCTTATCCTGCCAATGTATTTCAAAGCGCTAGCAGTCATTGAGAGCTTACTCTGTGAACTTAACCAAAGCTATTTCACTCTCACACTCATAACCCTAAAAAGGCAAAAACGATTACTATTCTCACTTTACAAATGAAAATGCTGATGTTCCGAAAGAGTAAGTAATTTGCCCAAGGACACACAGTGGCCATGTTATAAAAGACACTTGTCCAAACAGAAAAGACTTCATAATTATGGAAATCAAAATACAAAGATGGGCCTGGCTGGTGTGGCTCAGTGGTTGAGCATCAACCTATGAATCAGGAGGCCATGGTCCAATTCCTGGTCAGAGCACATGCCCAGGTTGTGGGCTTGATCCCCAGTGTGGGGCGTGCAGGAGGCAGCCAATCAATGATCTTCCATCACTGATGTTTCTATCTCTCCCTCTCCTTCCCTCTCTGAAATCAATAAAAATATATTTTTTTAAAAATACGAAGATGCGCCCTGATCAGTTGGCTCAGTGTATAGAGTGTAGGCCTGCGGACTGAAGGGTCCTGGGTTTGATTCCAGTTAAGGGCATGTACCTTGGTTGCAGGCACATCCCCAGTGAGGGGTGTGCAGGAGGCAGCTGATCGATGTTTCTCTCTCATCGATGTTTCTGGCTCTCTATCCCTCTCCCTTCCTCTCTGTAAAAAATCAATAAAATATATTTTTAAAATAAATAAAAATACAAAGATGGGATGGCATCTATGTCCACCTTTCTACCACTGACTTCCCAGCTGTAGTTGCATGAGCTCCTGCATGCAGCTCTGGGTTCCTACCTGGAAAGCC